CTGGTCAGTACCTGGATGGGAGACCTCCTGGGAAAACTAGGTGGCTGCTGGAAGAGGTGCTAGTGAGACCAGCAGGGGGTGCTCACCCTGTGGTCTGTGTGGGTCCTAACGCCCCAGTGTAGTGACGGGGACACTATACTGACAAAAAGCACCGTCTTTCGGATGAGACGTTAAACCGAGGTCCTGACTCTCTGTGGTCATTAAAAATCCCAGGATGTCTTTTCGAAAAAGAGTAGGGGTGTAACCCCGGCATCCTGGCCAAATTCGCCCATTGGCCTCTGACCATCATGGCCTCCTAACCATCCGCACATCTGCTGATTGGCTTCATCACTCTGTCTCCTCTCCACCAATAAGCTGGTGTGTGGTGGGCGTTCTGGCGCAATATGGCTGCTGTCGCATCATCCAGGTGGATGCGCCACACTGGTGGTGGTTGAGGAGATTCCCCCTTCTATGTAAAGTGCTTTGAGTGCCCAGAAAAGTGCTATATAAATGTAAGGAATTATTAATTAATTAACTGCTCTAACAGCACCTTGGAGATCGAGTCGGCATTCGTGTGACCATCAATTGTTTTAAAACCAAAAAAATCCCTCTTGAACAGTGTTAGCTGGATCAATATAACGGAACACTACTACGAGTTGGCAGTGAGTTGATATGTCCGTGGTTTCGTCACACTGTACAGACAGAAAATCTTTTTTTTTCAGCTCACCTATAATGTGGCCTTGCATTACATCAAGCATGCAGTCCAGTAAATCGTTCTGAATGGTTTTAGATGTACCCTTAAAAACTGTGGAGTGCTCAAGATGTCCCTGCATGATATTATCAAGGGAAGCAACAAGATCCACAAGACCTCTGAAAACACTGAGATTGTCGGAGGTTTCAGTCTCATCATGCCCTCTTAGAGCTAACTCAAACGCTCCGCAAAAACGCATAGAGTCAATTAACTTTGAGAGAATGGGCCTATTTTTATCCACTTTCTTATTGTGGTTTCGCACACCAACACCATAGCTCTCATCTAACCGTTTTGCTATATTAGCTTGTCCAAGCATGGCTAGCTTCATTGCACAGGTAAGATGAGCTTTGCTAGATTCGTGTATTTTAGCCTTTTCAGAGAAGTGGTTTACATCGCACACACCTATGCTACTCCACACATGGCCCTGTCCCCCTGTTAAAGAAGAACAGAAAAGCAAGCATGGGAAACAGAAAACTTTATTTCATTTAGCAAGGCTTCTTCTCATACCACGACCTGGAAAATGTTCTATTGAATGACCTACCATTGTCCTTTGTTTGCTGTACAATTTTTATATATGGTTTGTCGGGGCCAAGCTGTTTGATCGCTAATTTCTCACTAACTGACTCGCTCAAAAAAGTTCTGTAACAGAAACTCGACACTATTACACGCAAGATGATCTGTACTAGAGCCCGACCGATATATCGTTTTGCCGCAGATAAAATGCTTGAAATGGTGTAATTACATGGTCCAGCAGAGCGCGCTCCATTGTTTGCTACTGGCGACCTGGATGAAATGCTTTAAAGCTTAAGTCTATGGAAAACCATTGAAACTTTGAACGGCCATATATCCGTAACGGCACGGTGAATCCGCACCAAATTCGGGGGATCCCTTCAGCTCGAGAAATGCTCTCGAATGCCAATCAAGTGTACATCTAGAGGCCCGCTTTCGAATGAGACCACCCCCGCGTCGATACCCGGTGGGGGCTACCGACGCACTGTCTTATTCGACCAAAAGTGCCCTGCGAGGTGAACTTCACATGAAATTCCGCCATGATTCCAGTTCCAAGGGAACGTACACGTTACATTCAAAGGGCATTAAAGTGCGCGAGACGTGAATTTATATTGTATTTATTTACAGAGGTAAATTATGTCACACTTCACACTTCTCTAGTAAGTTTCGTCTGTGTGTGAAGACAGTAGCGCAAATCTGTGAATGAATGTTCCGAAGTGAAAAACTTCAACGGAATAAAGTTGAATGGAATTGAATTGAATTAAAGTTGAATAAACTTAAACTTTACTGTACAGTGCACTGATGTCAGACTCATTTGGGATAATAAAGTTTATTGTTAAATTGTTAAATGCCCTGCCTCCATTACGTATCTTTGTCACGTCATTATAAGTGTTTGATCACCACATTTGAGTGATCATTGCAAAAAATGTGTTTATGTATATATATTCTGTTTATGTATACACTGTATTCTATATATAGTACCAGTCAAATGTTTGGACCCTGGAATGGGAAAGTGTGCAAACTTTTGACTGGTACTGTACTATAATATACACAAAGAATGTCAGCCGATATATCGATATCTGCCTTTTTTTACTCCCTAATATCGGTATCGGCCCCAAAAAACCCATATCGGTCGGGCTCTAATCTGTACCACTCGCCATCTTCACGGTCTGATGCGTTTGGTTAACTGACACAGACTCATATACACTTGCTGATGCGGATTGATATAATATTGTCCGGAACTACGTTTACGTAACGTAAAAGTAAGAGGGGCAGTCTTGTATCTGCCCATATGTCTCTAAATTAGAGCACGCTGCATTTCTATTTTTCACCACAAATTTATATTGAGAAAATGTGTGGCGCTGTTGAGCTCGGGAGGGCAGCGAGACCCGCTGCCCCGCTTAGTACAGTCATTAATATACATCCAACCTGTCAACCGAAGCAATGTGCTAAATTTCAACATATCCATCTCACTTTATGACTTAAAACAGTCTAGAAACTCCGAAAATATTTTTGGAATAATGATGAAAATTTTTGAGTTAACAGTTTAGGACTGGTTCAGTTTATATAGAGTTCTATGTTTTTAAGTGGCTGAATATTTTGGTGCTGCCCATTCAGACGAGCCGTGCCTGGTCCAAACAATGGAAATGTGTTTTGTAAAGTAGGGCTACTGTTGTAAACAAGATGTTGCGCCCTCTGTTGTGTGGTCAAAGTAGTGTGGAATAAAGCAACTCTCCTGAAGGACACTCTAACTGACATGAAAATGCAAATATACACCTTTTCACCTGCCAATAAATAAGTCAACCATTATAACGTCTCCCATCTAACCGATCTAAAATAGAAACACAATGAAATTAAGCCAGATTAAACTTCAGTCAATTATCCTTCAATAAAAATGTGTATGGTTCCACACAGAGTAATAATTAGAGCCCGACCGATATATCGTTTTGCCGATATTATCGGCCGATATGAGCCTGTAGCCGATATATCGGTATCGGCGAATATGCCGCCGATATGAACTTTTTTTTTACAGAACATGTAATGCAGATAAAATGCTTGAAATGGTGAAATTACTTAGTTTGTCCAGAAGAGCGCTCCATTGTTTGCTACTGGCGACCTGGATGAAACGCTTTAAAGCTTAAGTCAATGGAAAACCATTGAAACTTTGAACGGCCATATCTCCATAACGGCGCGGCGAATCCGCACCAAATTCGGGGGATCTCTTCAGCTCAAGGAACCCTCTCGAACGCGAATCGAGTGTACGTCTCGAGGCCCTCTTTCGAATGAGACCACCCCCGCGTGGATAGCCCCCGGGGTTTGGGAGTTACGGGTGGTTAAATTCGCGGTCCGGCGCCGACCGATCTAGCGATCCCGGGGGGTTACCGACGCGCTGAGGGTGGCGTTCGAGAGGGCTCCTCGAGCTGAAGGGATCCCCGAATTTGGTTAAGATCCACCGGTGCGTTCGCGAGATAGTGACACCAGTCAACACTTTCACTTCGTCTAGTACAAATATATTGCTTTGTTTCATAATTACAGTGTATACGTTTTTCGGTAACACTTTAGAATAATGGTCCGTTGATATCAAGTAACTATGCAGGAAGTAATAGGTAGTACTACATTAACACTTAGCTTAATACTATTATTGACTGTCAGTCTTTATTCACCTGTTTCTCGTTATTTCTCATTAAAATTAAAGTAAATAGTGTAAATTACATCGCTAATGTCATAGAATAGCACATTGTAACGCAGTGTTACAACGTGCCCCATCTGCGCAACTGGAATTTAAAACTGGTTAGTGTCTTCTGCTAGTAATCAAAGCATTAAAAAACTATCTGAACTGATAAATAACAGATTGGAGATTAAAATAATAGCAGATTTGTCTAATTTTAAATGAATAATAAAAACTGAGATAAAAAATTTACTTAAGCCAGAATTTAAATGTTACTATGGTAAAATAAATATTCAAACCACGTGTGTTACAACTAACACCCCATTACTTTGTGCATCGCACTCATCGCAAGTTTATTGTTAAATTGTTAAATGCCCTTACATATCTCTGTCACCATTATAAGTGTTTGATCACCACATTTGAGTGATCATTGCAAAAAATGTGTTTATGTATATATATTCTGTTTATGTCTATACTGTATTCTATATATAGTACCAGTCAAATGTTTGGACACACGAATGGGAAAGTGTCCAAACTTTTGACTGGTACTGTACTATAATATACACAAAGAATATCGGCCGATATATCGGTATCGGCCTTTTTTTTACTCCCTAATATCGGTATCGGCCCCAAAAAACCCATATCGGTCGGGCTCTAGTAATAATGTTGCAAACTAATACCTGCACAAATATTTAGCCGTACAAATCCCTACCACACTTCCAAACCATTTACATGGACTTGAAAATGATATTTGAAAATGAAGCAATTTGTAGTTTTCTAAATTCTTGCCCTACGGTCAAATGAAACCTGAATTATCCACTCTGCACAAAAGATGACAAAACGTGAGCTCTTTGAAAACAATAATGCAAATCCTTTAAACCCACACAAGAATAATCACTTTGAGACTGATCTGACCTAAACAACCAGTTGTAAGGCAAGCGGACTGTTAAGATTAATAATTTAACTGACAGAGGGTCTAACAAACAAACTGTGGCAAACATACATATTGACAGAGCAAAAGGCACCCACGTACGGAGGTGTCACAACCTGAAGCACATTAACAGAAAGATTACAATAGGAGGCAATACTCACGTGGCTTCTGGCCCCATACGTACAAATGGAGCTTCCCAGAAGAGTAGTAGATGAACCCCAAGACCAGCATGGGACACAGGACGAACAGTAGTTTGTGTGCAGCCTTCATGTTCCTCAACCATTCACATGGTACCGTGTTTTTATATCACCTAGGAACAGGACAGAAAAAAATCCAGGGAATCTGAACACCATGTTCACAGCATGCAGTGAAGCAGACAGACTCTCATTATTAAAGGTGGTCCTATTATGCTTTTTTTACATTTTCAACTTCCCTTAGTGTGTAGGGTTGCTGCTTGAGCCTGAAAAAGTTCTGCAAAGTTACAAAGCACAAAGTGCTATCCAAAGGGTGACGTGCGACAAGCTGTCTGACAGCCTGCTTTCTGTGCTCATTCTTTGTGTGTGAGCACTCAGAAAACCGTATATAAGGAATTTAAACTGATGAGGCTTTAAAACACAAGCAGATGTGTTGTGTATTGTTGTCGGAGTAGCCAAGACATAAGTTTTTGCATTTAAAGCAGATTTTTTGCATTTCAAGAGACAATGTCTTAAATGAGTCATGGAATCATTTGATTCGTTCAAAAGGACTGATTCATTCAGGAACATGAAAAGTAATTAGGTAATAGGTAAAGTAATTGAATCCTTCGCTCATTCAAAACGCGGATTCATTCAAGAACCAAACACCTGTGTTACTCTGAGATGTGCAACACTTCTGCTGTGGATTTATTTGGAACTATTTTTGTTTTTTGATATAGAGAAAAAACAGACAACACTGTCTCTAAAATCACTTAGAAAAAAAATCACTTAGTCACTTAATAATAACTTCTTATTTCTGAACTGTATAAAATCAATATCACATTTACAATCTAATATTTGGTAAACCAGCTCTCTTCTTCCTCTAATATTGCTTAACTAAATGCAAAAAAAACAAGAACCCATACATAAAGAAGTCACTGGTAAATATCACTGTGTGAGAAAACAGACTTGTGGAGTGAGCATGTGAACTGTGTCAACTGTGTGAGTCTCATTCTCAATGATGGCAGCCCTGGGCAGTCCATGCATGCGTGTCTGAATGTTTGTGCAGTGTTGTGTTTAGGGGTCGACCGATATGCGTTTTTCAGGGCCGATGCTGATTATTACAGATCAAGTAGACCGATGACCGATATTTTGAACCGGTATATATGTCTGGAATAAAAATGAAAATGAATGTCAAAATTAAGAATAACAAGAGCTCTAACAAAAACTGCCTTTCCTCGATTATTACAGATCAAGTAGACCGATGACCGATATTTTGAACCGGTATATATGTCTGGAATAAAAATGAAAATGAATTTCAAAATTAAGAATAACAAGAGCTCTAACAAAAACTGCCTTTCCTGGTGTTGGTTGAGTGTAGTACTCCCACACTGCACTTCTTACTCTTGTCTTCCTCTGTGCATCCATCTACAATAAGGGTAATATAAAGAGAGAGTTAAAAGTGGGGCCACTGTATGCTTCATGTTTAAGCCTATGAATACTGTACTACAGCTAAACATCTTGGGGAAATGTAAGTATTTGGCTTCAATAATTTACATGTTAGAAATGTATGTGTAATAGCATAACCTCTCATAATTCCTCAATTATTTTCTGATGACTAAAACATAACCTACAATAGTAGAGGTGACTATTCAAATTATCATCTAATGCACATCAATGGATTAACTTAAAAATAATGTATATAATAAGTGTAAATAATTTAAAGGGGTCATATGATGTTGCTAAAAAGAACATTATTTGGTGTATTTGGTGTAATTAAATGTGTTTGTGCGGTTTAAAAAGTTCAAAAAACACATTATTTTCCACATACTGTACATTATTGTTTCTCCTCTATGCCCCGCCTTTCTGAAACGCGTCGATTTTTACAAAGCTCATCGGTCTGAAAAGCGAGGTGTGCTGTGATTGGCCAGCTATCCAGTGCGTTGTGATTGGCCGAATTCTCAACCGATTTGAATCGTCACATATTTGAATCGATTTTCAACCGGCTCGCGGTTAATCGTTACATCCCTAATCACATCCTTTATTTTCCCCCAGATGTAATTATCTAGGTAGTTGAATAAAAATATTTGGACTTAATATATAAAAATTACCTCAACATAGCACCAGCAAGCTTGTTAGCTAGACAGTTAGCATCAGCTAACAATATTTACTTATTTTCAGTATGGTTATGA